CACCAGCCAGCCGCCCCCCCGCCCAGGAGAAAGCAGGACAGAGCGGACTCTGGGGGAAGTGTTCCCAGTCACTGTGTGTGACTCTTTCTTTCTCCTTTAATATATTTTTATTGGTTTCAGAGAGGAAGGGAGAAGGAGAGGGAGATAGGACCATCAGTGCTGAGGGAGAATCACTGGTCGGCCGCCTCCCCCACGCCCCCCACTGGGGATGGAGCCTGCACCCTGGGCCTGTGCCCTTGACCGGAATCGAACCCGGGACCCTTCGGTGTACAGGCCGAGGCTCTATCCGCTGAGCCACACCGGCCAGGGCTTGGCGGCCATTCTCCGTGCTGGCCAAGAGGAGGTGGCTGTGTAGCGCACTCTTGTTCTCGGGGGTGGGGTGGCCCCTTGACACGCGTCTCCCTTCCAGGGTGAACGGCTCCCTCGCGGAGATCCTGCAGGTGGACCTGGGAGTGGACAACAGCAGCGACCTGGCGGGGGCCCAGCCCGTCACGTGGCAGGTGGAGTACCCGGCGGAGGACGCGGCGGGCGAGCTCGTGGTCTCGGAGATCTTCGTCAGCCAGACCAGCTTCGTGGGCATCGTCCCCCTCGCGATGGTGAGCGACGCGGTTTTCTTCGAGCGCTTCCAAAAACACGTGGTTTTTACTGATTTCAGAGACGAAGGGAGAGGGAGGGAGAGAGAGAGGGAAACATCTGTGATGAGAGAGAATCATGGATCGGCTGCCTCCTGCATGACCCCCTCCCCCCCACAGGGGATCAAACCCACAACCCGGGCACGTGCCTGGGGTGGCTACGTGTGCTGTGCACACGGCACACGTCTGGCCGTCAGTGTCTCCCGGGCTGGCTGCGCTGCCCGTGGTGGGTAGTTTCTTGCATTTGGGTTTAATTCCCATTGGCTGGGAAGTGCCAGGGTTGGGTTGGTTGGTGGGGTCTGTGTTACAATGTAACTCTTGACCACTCTGAAGAGTGGTTCCGAAGTGGCTCCAAGGGACAGAGCCTCTCTGCTGAGGGCCCAGCTGACCCTGTGCACCTGCCTGTCTCCTCTCTGTACGAGGACACCGGCCAGACACCAGCCTCTGGGCTGAGGGCCCCCCCTCGCTCACCCAGTGTGGCCTCATCTGAACGAATCCCAGGCGCCCAGACCCCGACTGATCCGGCAGGGGCAGCGCTGGGTGGAACTTCCTTTTCCTGGGAGAGGGACTCACAGGCGACTCTTCCTGGGGCGCCCACCAGATGGCGCTCACAGATCAGCCTCTGGCCGTACTTGCCTTGGGCTCCCCTCCCCAGCCGGCTCCCTGGACCCCTGCCCCTCGTCCGTCCTGTCCCCGGTTAACCGGCTGCCCCTCAAACCACATGCACCAAGCCCCGTATTCACACGTGTGAGGAACGGAGGCTTCATCCTGCAGCCCCGCCCAGCGCTCCTCCCAGCACCTGCACCTGCTCCTGCACCTGCACCTGCTCCTGCTCCTGCTCCTGCTCCTGGAACTTGTACCTGCACCTGCACCTGCACCTGCACCTGCTCCTGCTCCTGCTCCTGCTCCTGGAACTTGTACCTGCACCTGCACCTGCACCTGCACCTGCTCCTGCTCCTGCTCCTGCTCCTGGAACTTGTACCTGCACCTGCACCTGCACCTGCACCTGCTCCTGCTCCTGCTCCTGCTCCTGGAACTTGTACCTGCACCTGCACCTGCACCTGCACCTGCTCCTGCTCCTGCTCCTGCTCCTGGAACTTGTACCTGCACCTGCACCTGCACCTGCACCTGCTCCTGCTCCTGCTCCTGCTCCTGGAACTTGTACCTGCACCTGCACCTGCACCTGCACCTGCTCCTGCTCCTGCTCCTGCTCCTGGAACTTGTACCTGCACCTGCACCTGCACCTGCACCTGCTCCTGCTCCTGCTCCTGCTCCTGGAACTTGTACCTGCACCTGCACCTGCACCTGCACCTGCTCCTGCTCCTGCTCCTGCTCCTGGAACTTGTACCTGCACCTGCACCTGCACCTGCACCTGCTCCTGCTCCTGCTCCTGCTCCTGGAACTTGTACCTGCACCTGCACCTGCACCTGCACCTGCTCCTGCTCCTGCTCCTGCTCCTGGAACTTGTACCTGCACCTGCACCTGCACCTGCACCTGCTCCTGCTCCTGCTCCTGCTCCTGGAACTTGTACCTGCACCTGCACCTGCACCTGCACCTGCTCCTGCTCCTGCTCCTGCTCCTGGAACTTGTACCTGCACCTGCACCTGCACCTGCACCTGCTCCTGCTCCTGCTCCTGCTCCTGGAACTTGTACCTGCACCTGCACCTGCACCTGCACCTGCTCCTGCTCCTGCTCCTGCTCCTGGAACTTGTACCTGCACCTGCACCTGCACCTGCACCTGCTCCTGCTCCTGCTCCTGCTCCTGGAACTTGTACCTGCACCTGCACCTGCACCTGCACCTGCTCCTGCTCCTGCTCCTGCTCCTGGAACTTGTACCTGCACCTGCACCTGCACCTGCACCTGCTCCTGCTCCTGCTCCTGCTCCTGGAACTTGTACCTGCACCTGCACCTGCACCTGCACCTGCTCCTGCTCCTGCTCCTGCTCCTGGAACTTGTACCTGCACCTGCACCTGCACCTGCACCTGCTCCTGCTCCTGCTCCTGCTCCTGGAACTTGTACCTGCACCTGCACCTGCTCCTGCACCTGCTCCTGCACCTGGAACCTGTACCTGACCTGCACCTGGGACCTGGAACCTGAACCTGGCAGCTTGGAAAGGTGCAGCCTCCCTCAGCCAACACCTCTGCCTGCCCTGTGGCCAGATGGGTGCCTGCGTGTGGCTTTTTTTCCTTGGAAGGTTTTATAGTT